CCCCCCCCGCCCCCCGGCCCCCCACCTCCAGACAGTTGCCCAATCCTCGCCATTTTACTTTGCTTTGATTTCTGAATGGGGGGGCTTCACTGGTGCATGACTTCACACCGAGCCAAACAGGGAAACTTTGAGCATCGATCCCATAATAACAGGCTCATCTCAGCCCCGAGTGGTCGGTGAACCCGTCTGTGAGCCCGGCGTGACTCCTGCTCCTCTCAGCGTCTCCGCCTGGAGGAGCACAAAGTCAACTCTGCTACTTTGGTTCAGTTTTATAAATAGAGCCGCGCTCTGTCCTCTTCTTCTTCTTCTTTATGTATAAATATTCATGTGTTAAGGTGTTGAGATGGAGGTGCCACACGGCTGCTCCTCTCCGCTGCTCCTCTCCGCTGCTCCTCTTCTGTCCCCACACGGAGTGACAGGCGCAGAGCCGCCCACCAGACAAAAACCATTGTCTGTCTCCACGTCTCTTCTCATTTCAGCGTTTGTCGCAGAAAATGGCACTTTGTGGCAGGAACGTGAGACGGCGCTGTTGTGACTCCGTGACTCTCCGTGACTCCGTGACTCTCCGTCATCACTCCCTCCGAGCGACGAGACGAAATGGCGACAATTGAAGCCAAACATTTACTATCATTTTGGTCAACTCAGTTAACCAGGTCAACTCAGTTAACCAGGTCAACTCAGTTAACAGTTAACCAGGTCAAAACTCAGTTAACCAGGTCAAACCGATTGATCAGAAACCTTATGACATCCAGAGGCCGCACGGTGTAAAAGTGTTTGATGGTCTTGCCTTACAACCAGAATGTCACCAGTTCAAGCTGATTCTGTTTGGAGTTCAGGTGCCTCCCCCCTCCTCACCCCCCTCCTCACCCCCTCCCTGTACTTCCTTCCACAGTTTAAAAACAAACTTCTTTTTTTTTACCTTACAACAAAAAGGTCAGCAGCTCAATTCTTAAATTAGGTCAGAGCGCTCACTCTGAACGGACTGTAGGTGTCGCCGTGGGAGTATTGATGGTTAATTGTCTCAAGTGTGGGATCTGTACAGGGTGTGGACCCCCCCCATCACCAGCCCCCCAGGTATAGATGATGATGGTAGAAGTGCAGGAACACAAACAGACTATGAGCTGATATAGACGTTATAAATACAGATGATACAATATAACCTTCATCATCATCACCTTCATCACCTTCATCATCACCTTCATCCCCATCGTCATCAGTGAACTCCACCACAGCCAGTGGTTGATAATGTGTCTGGTGTTACAGGTGATGAAGAGGAGGCAGCAGAGGAGGAAGATGGGGACGGTCTGAGCTCCAGTCCTGGGAAAACCGCTCTGCGCCGCGTGGAGACGGACGGCGTTCCCCCTGAGGAGGAGCCAGACGCCAAGGGTGAGGGAGAAATCTGGGACTGTTGACAAGTCAGTGAGGAAACTGTAGACCTGACCTGAGGTCAGGGAGGAGGTCCACCCCCCCCAACCCCCCCCCGGGGAAACATCCTGAAATGTAGACAAGTGCACGTGGAGCTAATGACCCCCCCACCTCCCCTCCACACACACACACACACACACACACTGATCAGTGTTCCTGTGGTGACTGTGTTCACCTGATGCTGAAGGGACTCTGACCTCTGACCCTGACCTTTGACCTCTGCTGTATGTGATCCAGACCAGTCCGTCCACTGGTCGTTGTTCTAACACACACACACACACTCGTTGTTACACTGCTGTTTTTCTGAATGTTGATTTATCTGATTAATCCACAACTTCTGACCCCCCTCTGCCCTCCCCCCTCCCCCCC